CCTACCTTCTGGAGGCACTGGGATGCTATGTTCATTAGCAAAGTACCTTCAGACGTGTGGGTGGAAAGTACCAAACAAGGTCAGTGTGTTATTAATGGCACTGAAAAAGAGGCACCAGTGATTTTAGATCTCAGATGCAGTTTGCCCACTTTAATTTCTCATATCATGTGTCCACAGGACACCAGCTGTGAAGACCTGAGACAACTCACTCTATTACCTCAAAACAACCGTTGACAACCCCACATAAACCTCAAAAATTAAAGTTCCCTTGGACAATGACTCTGTCAGATATGAACAGGGCAGGGAGATGAGTTAGGTAAGGAGGTCCTGAGGGAGCGGAACCCCTTTGGCACTTCTTGCAGAGGCAGGATCATTCATTTGGTTTTGGAAGGGAGGAATTTTTCAACAGACCCAGTCCCTCACCACTCTTTTGTGATATACTAGCAGACACACTCAATTGGCCAAAAAAATTCTACTCAGGTCCTACTGACTGGGAATCTTAAGCAGCTCAAATATTTAATGCTGACTGACCACTGGAAGAGAGAGATTTTGAAATGTGTCGCTTACAGTGGTGTGCAACAGTCAAAATGGCAATGTGTACAACGTGATGTGCAAATGTAACTGTTGAGCTAATGTGCATATGAAGTACAAGGCCATTTCAATTGCATATCTTGTTTCCTTATTTTGTTCTGGATGCTCCCCTTTGAGTTCTGAAGATCTCTCCTGCCCCAGCAATACATCTCCAAGCTACCTCCTTTTCCCAGGTAAATCCATCCCAAGATCCTATTTGTAGGAAGCCAGTTGGAAAGAGATGCCTATCTTTATTACAGCCCCTGATTGGTGTAAACCAAAGAAAATGAAGTAATAGGAGTAAAGAACCAACAGGAAAATTCAAGCAGTGCTGAGCCCTGGGCTGCTCAAGCACACTAGTGCCTCCTTGTCTGTCTTAAATATTGTAAGGTCTCACAGCTGGATCACCTCTACATTGATACAAATACCAAACCTGTCATTATCATTAAACAAATAACAGCCTGTTTGCAAGGGTTAGCCTTTTGCTGGAATGAAACTGCATGAATATACTTGGATACAGAGCACATGCAGATCCTGCTAAGCCTTTCCTGCACTGGTAACACATAACCTTTCCACTTTATTTCAAAAGAGATATTTTCTCTCCCAGCACTGGAGTGCAGCTCAGTGCTTGAGAGCGTGAAGGGGCTTGAAGAGGACCTCTCATTCCCTCCTCTGGAAGGAGAGGAGATCTGAGCCTTCGTTCCTCCCTGGCACTCAGAGACTGCACTGCTGCAAGGACCAACAGATGACACGATCCTACACATCACTTTCCTGACGGAAAAGAAATCAGTGATTCAGCATCTGTGTATTTTCCTCCTCCAGCTGCAGATCAATGCACAGCACCATGTGCTGGGCTACAACACTCACACCATGCACACAAGCCCTGTCGTCTCCCAAAACCATAAGCCCTAGCTCCGTGAGTGTATTCCAGAAGGCAATATTATCTCAGGGATTAACTCCAGACGCAGGGTGAATTGCCTGGCTCCCTAGAACGGCTCTCTTCAGAGCCACCTACAAAAACAAACAATGCAGTATTTCCTTAAAGGCTGAATGCTGTGTATACCAATGGGAAAATAAACCAAACAAGACCTGGTAAGACCGCAGCAGCATCACCTGGTGAGGATCACCACATGACAGCGAGGAAAAGTTCCGATTTCAACACTTTCAGTCAGATCTTCTCCTCGTCCCACTCAATGCCCTTTCATGGCAAGACTGTGAAGCCACGTTTGCCGAGTTACTCAGTTCTGTCCCTGACACGCTCTGGACATGATCCCAAACCATCAAGAAGCAGATGTCCCTATCCAGGTTGCCAGCACTGAAGGTGAAAGTTTATTACTGTCTCTTTGCATTTCCCTTGATATAAACAGGAAACAACCAGCATTAGACTCACTAAATAAAAAGCCAAACCAGATAGGCAAGGCAGAAGGTGCTTCTTTTTCCATACACACCCTTTCCCCTCTCATTCACATACAAATTACTGTTGCATCCAGGTGGGAGGAGAGTTTGAAGAGGGGAGGGGGGAAGAAATGTTTGCCAAATACGTTGAGGGATCAGAAGGCAGCTTTCTCATAAAGCGCAGGGCTGACCCACAAACTGCAAGAAAACCTCAAACTCCGCAAGAGTTTCCCTCCTCCCCGTTTTCAGGGTGAGAGCAGCCACAGCAGGGAATTGGTAGGCAAGCAAGGGGTCTAACCAGGTCACTCCACCCTTCTCTTCCTGCCTGGAGCATAACATGGGAGGGAAACAGATCTGAAATGTAGGCCATCTACAAAGACTGGGGGAGAGGCTTAAATGATGTGAGATTTATGATCTTCAAAGTGATTAGCGCCCAGCACTCCAAATAAAGTCAAAGAGAGCTCAGCAGCTCTTGCATTCAGTTTGGAGTTGGGTTTCAAACCATACTTCTCTGGCTTCAGTTTGAAAACTTGAATTGCAAGGTAACAAAAAAAAAAAAAAAAAAAAAAGCACCCCAAACACACCCTCACACCCCAAC